AAGGAGATATATATATTTTATGATCTATTAATAAATAGCAAAGAAAACATTTTTAAGAATTTTTTTATAAAAGAAATAAAATAGAAATTAGAATAATTAAGGATATTAGTATATTTAAGGTAATTATAATAATTAAGGCAAAATTTATTTTAGGATCTCTTAATTAATAAATAAATAGCAAAGTATAAACTAAATGAGAATATTTTTTAAATTAAATATTAGAATATTTAAGGTAATAAGAAATAAAAAAGATATTAGTATATTTAAGTCAATTATAATGCTTAAGGCAAAATTAATTTTAGGATATATAAATAAATAAATAGCAAAGTATAAACTAAATGAGAATATTTTTTAAGTTAAATATTAGAATATTTAAGGCAATTATAAATTAAAAAGATATAAGTATATTTAAGTCAATTAGAATATGTAATTTATTTGACATAGAAAAATTATCTTATAAATTTATAATAGTAAAGTATGTATATATGTATGTAAGTAATAAAAAATAAGTGATATTTTAATTTTGATTATTTGCGTATTTTAATATTAAGATAAATTATTTAATATCATACAAAGTTTTAAATTTATAAAATAAATTAATATACTATTTATCCTCATTAATTAAGCTATCCCCTTATTAATACTCTAAAAAAATTTTGACCTTTTAATAAATAAAAAATTATTTTTTTAGCATTTTTGTAAGGTATTTTTTCAATAAAAGTTATGGTGACAATAAAAATATCTAACTAGCATATAATAACAATTGCAAAAAAAAAACCTTATTTTAAAAAGTAATATACAAAAGACTTACAATGAGTGTTTTTGTTAAATATTTTGCTGCTTTTGTATAATACAATATTCTTTCATAATATTAAAATTTAATTGCTTCTTAATTTTCATAATATATTTTAAAAATAATTATATGGAAAGTTTTTTCTTAAATTGTTGTCTTCATTTTAATTTAAGCTTATGTTGCATTTATCTTTTAAGGTAAATTCAAGATTTAAATACAGACTTGCCTCTGAATTTTAGAGGTTTATTTGAAACATAAAGTCAAAAAATACAAATTAAGTAAGAATCGCTTCTTTTTGCAAAGATTTTACTTTAAAAAGTGTTATAAATTTCATTTTCTTGACATTTTTAGATATTTTTTTCTTTAGAAAAGAAAGTATTTAAATAGGAAAATTATTTAAATATGGTTTTACATCTATTCCAACGTATTTATTTAAGAATTCTTATTATAAATCTCTCCATTTTCTATTGATTTTTTAAATATCTAATCTTAGTTAATCCATAACATATTTTGTAAAGCTAGCCATCAAGAGGTAAATTTTACTTAAGATATTATTTAGAAAGCTCCTTTTTAGAATCTAAATATCATTAAATTCATCTTATTTGTTATTAAATCCCTTAACACTGTCAATTACCCTTATATCCTAAAGATAAATTGAATTAATAAAATTATCCAAAATTATTTATAATCTAGATTAGCCATGTAATTGATTAATGAAAAGAATATTTAGATAACAGCTATAAAGTGTTATTTCTATTATTATTGTTATTTTAGTGAATAAAAATAATTTTAACTCTCATTCATTCTACATGGTGGGTTAAAGAAAATAAATTGCTAGCTTGAATTAATTATTGTATACATAAAATCCTAAATTTAATTAAATTACCTTTGAGATCATTTTCATCATCAGATAGCTAAAAAATTCTGCAGGCAATCTTTGTATTGCTGATCATAAATTTTTGATTTGATTTATATAATTATTACATAATAAGGGAATGAATTTATTTCATCTAAAAAACTAAGCTATAAAAGTTCAAAAAGATAAAAAATGAAGCAGCTAAGATATTTATATTGCATATTTCTATTAATAATTTTATAGTCACTAAATTAATTAATCAATCACTTATTTATTCGCCTGTTTCATTTAACATAGAAATTTATAATAAAAATAAAATTTACCTTAAACTAAATAAAATTTGCCTTTAACTAAATATTTACATTAAATTTAATTGCTCTATTTTAATTTTGATGATATAATTATAAATATCACTTGGGTTTAATTGCTTATCAGATTATTTAACAACATCAGGAAGCAAAAAAATTCTGAACAAGACGTTTGAATTGTTATCAAAAATTCTATTAATAAATAAATAAACAACCATTTTTTAAAATTGTTAAATCTAGAAATAAGTAGAAATATTTTTAAAGAAAGAAATAGACATAGTATTTATTTTCTTTATTCGATTATTATTTTATATTAATTTATTTTGTTGGAAATAAAAATAATTATTTATTATTTTAATTAAATATATTTATTTTAAAATTCAATTGTTAATATAAAAATAATAAAATAAGATAGATTTAGTTTTTAATTAAATGAAAAAAATTAAATATTAATTTTGAATATTACAATTTTAATTAAAAGCAAGAAAAATAATTATTTGTCTATTACAAAAAAAAATACATAATTAACTATTAATATTCATTGTAAAATGATTAATAGGAACAATTTACTAAAGCAAAAAGCTGCTTTGATGATTCGATCTAAAGAATACTTTTTACTTAACTTGAAAAAGCTATTAAAATATGGAGAAAAGAATAATTTAAAAATTAAAATATAAATTTAAAAATAAAAATAAAAATAAAAATAAATTAAAGACAAAAAAAAAATTTAACTCAATCAAAGCTGAGGAAAAGGTTATAAAGAAGAAACCTTACGATAAATGAAAGATTTATTCTTAGAAGATATTGAAACTAAATCAAACTTCTTTGAAGAATTTATTATTTCTAATACTCAGCTTAGCGAGTATCCTTTAACGTTCTTCAACAATTCCTTAGCTAAATAAAGAAAAGGAAAAATATCCAAATTATACCCTGTTGAAATACATTAGTGTAAAAACTACGTTGACTAAATATCTTTAATTGCTTAATACTCTTTTGAACTTTCTACCCTTAGTGAGTAAACAGTAAAAGAGGAAATAGTAGAAAATATTCTTGCAATGACACATTATAATAAGGGGGACTTACATTCTATGAAATCTCCTATGAAATTAGTTAAACAATAAGAGTGGGAAGAGAAATTCAATTCATATAAAAGAAAAAAAGAAATCCTTGGAGGAGCAATAGTTTTCACAACAATTATGAGAGAAAAGTCTCCTAGATTGAAAGACTTAAGCCCTTATTAGCTTATTGAATTATACAAAGAGGCCTTGTTCTTAGGGCTGAATGAAAAAGAGCTATGGAAAAGAGTTACTCAACGAGATATAAGAGAGAAGCTATTTCAATACTTATTTTTTGGATCAATTTTCCTACTATCACCGGTATAAAAAAGATAAGTTAACATAGATCTTGTTAAAACAGAAAAATTGTAAGAATATTAGATGATATAATTGTTAATATAAAATTTTAATTGAAAAATTATATTATTGCTTGATGTTTATTATGTAAGAATATTTAACTTAACCAAATTAAACTTAAAAAAGTAAGTATTTAAAACTCTTTTTCATACACTTTTTCTTTTTAATTTAAGCAGAGAATTTGTTAATTAAATAAATCAACAATGATTAAAAATATTTTTCATTTGTACAGTACATTAAATTTAAGAATATCTATGATTAAATGATTATTTGATAATGAATATCATTGGTAAAAAATAGTTGATTGACTGACTGGAATAGGATTTTTAAAGATATTTATTGATGGAGATTATTCTTGGATTAAAAAATATATATTTAAAATAAATTTTATAAAAATTATGTAAAAATAACATTAAAAATTTGATTAATTTATAGAAATTTGACAATGAAAAATTTATTGGTTTTTTTCCACTAAAAGCTTACAATATTTTAAATAATAATTTATAAATTATAAAAAAGTTTATAATAGATTTAAAATTAATACAATTATTAATTTTAATTAGAAATATTTAAAGTAATTTACCTGATAATAATAACTAGGATTATATATTGTTAAATTTGGTTTTTTATTTTTTTTATTAAAAAAATACATAATTTATTGTTGATTGTGTAGATAATATGTGGATGGACTCATCAAAAAATAGGGCTTTTTAATAATTTACTTTTTGTTTGGAAAATAATTTTTAAATATTTGCATAGTTTTTTTAATAAGTTTTTAAAAGATTTTATCAATTTATAGAGAACAAAAACATGAATTGACAAAATATATGCATTTAAAATTTTTATTAACCATATATTATTACTTTAAAACAAAATCAAGAATATTTGGCTTTGTATGCTGCAATTAGTTCGTTGCTACGACCATCTTGCTTTCCAACATCTTTTAAAATTTATTCTACAAACAAATTTGTTAATTTTTTTGAGCTTTAAGCAGAATTTATATCAAGATATTCACAAATTCCTTTTGTTAATTTTGCAATATCTTCATATGTACTTTTTGCTCCTTAGTGCAGGTAAAATGTATTTACAGGAATATTTTTTGTGTTAAGTTTTTAACACTCTGGAACATAATAAGTTAGTCCTTTTAGTGGAGTAGTTTCCCAATAACTCTATCCAAATTAATTTCTAAACTCTTAAGCTTCATTCTATAGATGTGCAGGCTAATCCCCTAAAATTATTACTTGGCTAATTGGGTCTTCATCATTTTTTTTGTTAGCCCACCATAACCCTACTTCTACAGATTCTCCTGGGTATGTACCACCATATGCTGTTATTGTTTATAAGAAAGACCTTAAATTATCTGGATTGTTTTCCCAAGTTGAAGTTTAGAATATCTCTTCCCATTTGCTATTATAACTTCTAAAACAGCTTATCATGATTAAAAAACATTATGGATCATATCCTTTTTCCTTTAAGATATCTCTAGTTTATTCAAAAGTTGTCTAAATAATATTTTTAGTTTAAGTGATGAGACTACCCATTGATCCTGTAACATCCATAACAATCAGAGTTTTAAAATAAATTTATTCTTTTGGGCCTTAATTCAATTTCAATAAGTATTTTTTAACTTCATATAAATTACGATCTTTTAAAAAGTTTAAGAAGTTCTCTGATTATTTATGACTAGTAATAGAGGTCTTTTGATTATATTCTATATTACTTTTAAAGTCATTTTCGAAATTAACCTGACGATTTCTATCAAGGACTTCATATATTTCATCAAGTTTCTCAATTTTCTTTTTATCTACTTCTGTTTTAAGAAAAGCCTAAAGAGTATCTTATTGAAGAACCATGCTGAAAGAACCTTCTTCACCTTATCTTGCTGTCCTTCCTTTTGTCTAGGTCTCTTCAGACTTATCCTGAGAAAAGAAAGTCTGAATAACATGAATTCCATAATTTTAAAATATGATAGAATCATTAACTTAGAAATCTATACCTCTACCAAAAATTTTGGTCAGCAAAGTGATTGCACCAGAGTATGTTGCATCTTTTATAATTTTCTTTCTTTCTTCAATTGAGTTTTCTTCTGTCATAATTTAAGTCTATGAATATTATTTTAAGGTTTTGAACTATTAACTATTGTAGTAGTCAAGCAAGATGTCTTTGGTATTAAAGAAAACTAGTACTGCTCTTTTTTAATCAGTTTTTCCAACTATATTCCTATTTATTTCATTTGTGATAGTATTGTAATACTCTTATTACAAAACTACTTTCACATCTTTTTGGGGGTTAAATTAAAATTTACTCTTTCCATACACTGATGGTATAAAAGTTTATTATTTCATATTATATGTATTTTGTATTAATTCCAGTTGGCTTCTACTTAAAGTTTCTAAAGTTCCAGTGACACCATTAATTATGAAAAACTTTTTAGGTAGCTCTGAATAGCTAAAACTTCCGCTGTTAATTTTGAAGAGTTTTTATTTTTAAAGGCCTACATTAGAAATTTTTGAGTTCTAATTTTCCTGATAATAGGTATACAAAGTTCTATATCCATATGAAATATTATCAAGATATTAATCTTAATTTTTATAATAAATTTTATCATTTTAAATTTTGTAATTTTCAATAATAACATTATTGAAATTTTTAAAATCAGAAATAACAATTTTTGTTTATTCTGTGATTAATTCAACCCATTTAGGAAATTGAGCTATGCAGATTTTATACTCTCGAGACTCAGAAATAGTTTTAAAACTAAAATTTGGATCAAATTTATCACTCCATATTTTATCAAGTAATTTTTCAACTGCAGGGCCCTAGATTGGTGCCACTATGTCATAATTATTTCCAAAAAAGTCTTTACTAAAAAAAACATCTACTTCATCTATCAGGAGAACCTATTTCCTGATATCTGAAGTTTTTGAGCAATTAATATTATCTGCTTAGATATAACTTGAAACTTGCTCTCTAATATCTCCTCTTTGGTTTAATATTTCTTCGCAGACCTTGTTGAATGTTCCATACATAATCTAATTTTTAATTTTTAACTTTTCAAACAAAAGCGAGAATTCTTCGTAATCCCTAACACTTAGTTAATTACTGTAGCAAGCGCACTTAACAGAAAATCCACAAAGAGAATAAAAGCATGCCAGAGCAGCCAAAATGACAGATTTCCCCTCACCAGTCAAGATTTAAGCTAAACTGTTAGATTATATTAAATAATAACTTTTGGAGTAGCCTATACCTAAAAGCCTAAAAATTGCAACTATTTAAGCAGGATGAGGTTTTAACAAAAAGCTTTACCTGTTTTCATATGATTAATCTATTGATTCAAAATAATATTTTGAATTTATACAAGTCCAGCAACAGAAAATACCTGCTAAAAGTTCAGTAGTTATATTCAAAGATGTTTATTCTATTTTTCCTGTTTTAATAAACACATCTGTGCCGATTCTATTGACTGAATTTTATATTTCTTTCAAGAGGTCAATAAAATTAATTTTCTCAAAAGAAGTTAAATATTTTTATAAATATTGATTGTAACTATCTACAAATTTTTGGTAAAATTCTTTTAGTTAAATTCTGTTTAAGTCATCTTTTTTATCAATACCAGAATAGCCCTTAATTTATTCCATGACTTGATCAATACCAAACCGTTGTATTCTTTAATTTGTATCGCTAATCTAAAAACCTTTGAAAAAAGGATGATTTTGTGCTACTTAATCGCCATATTTAGATTTTTTTAATTGAATTTATAACTTTTCTAAAGATCCATTAGAATTTTTATAATTTTTTAATGCTTAGTTAATCTTTTCATTGCATTCTGTTTTGATTTTTTCCATGTAGATGTAAGTTGAAGATATTTTATGCATATTAGAAATATACTCAGTAACTAATTCTATTTTATCAATTTTTGTTGGTTCTGTAAACTACTTTTAAATTTACAGTAAAAATTCAGATTGCACAAACCTCTCATCAATACGAGTTTTTACATAATCCAAAGATGAAAAATATTAATCTATAAATTTCGAATTCAAATAAATGTTGTTAATACTTTTAACAACACCATCATCAAAAATATCACCTTAAAAGCACTATTTAAGATTTAAATTTATTGATTCAACAGTTTAATTTAATTTTGATAGCAAATTCTCAAATAATTTTTTTTGTTGAGTGCTAAAATTGAATTGCTGCATAATGTTTTACATTTCTTTAGCATTTTATAAGCCTTTTTAAAAAGATTGGTAGTAATCTTCATACTCTTTCTAAATTTTAAATGCATTAACATTCTTTAAGATAATTTATTCCATCTATTTCTCCAATTTTTACTGCTTAGAATTCAAATGTTCTGTTAATTCATGATATGAGTCACCATCAAAATTTTAAAGTTAGTAAATAATATTAAATTAATCCTTTAAACAAGTAAGATCGTCCTCAGAATTTTTAACTTACTTTACTCTTTGTTTTATATTGTTAGTAACTTTTGATTTTTATTCTTAAATCTTTTCAAACACATAGAAAAAATCAAGTCCTTTTAAAAGCTTCAACTCTTATTCTTATAATTTGCCATAAACCTTTTGCAAAGAATTGCACAATAAGCAATAATGAGAAAAAAATTCTATAGATTTTTAATGGCTACTAATTTTTTGATTCAATATATTTTGTATTAACTTTTCAGCTTCTTTAATTTGATCACAAAATAGTTGTTCAAAAACATTATTTAATTTTTCTTCTACTAAAAGTTAATATTCTTAGTTTGTTTCAGCACCAATACTAATTAAAGTCTGAAGATTTTTCTCAAAATTGTTGTATTCTTTGCAATTAGATATTATTTTCATATGAGAATTTTCTATTTCTTTTTCCATGAATTCCTCAAGCTTGATTTTAAATGGCTTATAAAAGCTCGAATCAGCTAGAGTTTATTATAGCTTCCTAAGTCCTTTATAGCATTTTTGTTTAAAGCAACTTTCGATTTCTTCTTATATTTTATCAGAGTTTATAATGTCTTCTATTAATTATTTCAGAGATTTTATCATTTCCTTAGGAACATAATCAAAGAAAGATTAAACTTATCTGATAACCTCCTCTTGTTAGTTTAATGACTTGTCTCTTACATCATTCAGCATATCTACAAGTTTTTTCTAGAAAATTTCTTAAAGCAATTTAGAAAAATTTTAATAAATATCATCATCTTCTACCTTCTCTAATTTGCTACATATTGAATTCAAATCAAATCTTTATGCTTTTGAGTTAGTTAACTTTAAATTTTCAACTTTTTATTAAAGTTCTTGGAAGCAGTTTTCTTATATTTATCTTAATTTATTGAATTCTTCATCTATTTAAAATTATTGTTAAAGGATTTTAAAAATTTCTAACATAAATTTATATTAATCATTAGATTCTTTGAAATTATTGTTATTAAATGTTTATTTAATTTTTTTGGGTCCTTCATGAGCAATTTAGTTAACGCTGTTATTAACCTATTCAATCTAAGACTTAAGCTTATCTACATCCAAATAATCCTTAAAATGATAAACATAATCATTGAAACGCTTATATAAATTTATAATTTAATTTGCATTATCCATTTACTCTTTGAGTTGGTTGCTAATAGGCGAATAAGTTACAATTTATTTGAGCTTATCAGAGTATTACTAAATTTATGTTATGATTTTTTTCATTTCATTTTCAAGCTAAAACTTTAAATCATTCAAAATCATTTGATGTTCTTTATTTTCTTTATTTTACATAGTCTATTCATAAAGCTATTTATAAGTCTCTAGTATTTTAGGAAGATGAAGGTTACTTAACTATTGCTCTAATCCATTTTTAAGATTTTGAACATTAAGTTTATTCTTAACATAGGTATCAGAGAGTAAACTAGCAAAACAGAATTAATTTTAAGGAGTACATTCTAATTCATCTAATATTTTCAGTTGCTGCAAAATGAAAATCCACTTTTATTAAATATGTTCATTCTCATCTAAAATTTC